TTGTCTCAGGAAACTATTTAATACAAAAGTTATCCTTGCCAATGTCTACGCTCCGAATGCTGATGATGTTAGCTTTTTGATAGTTTTTTCTCTCTTCTCAATGGCCTAGACACACATTATCTAATACTTGGTGGGGACTTCAACTGCTGGTTGGACCCGACCCTGGATCGCTCTTCCAGCAGACCAGGGGTAGTGATAGATCTGCCTCATGTATCCAGTCTTTAATCTCTGAGTTTGGGATTTCAGTTATATTCCTCAACCCTAGAGCGAGACAGTATTCCTTTTTTTCAAATGTCCATCACACTTACTCCAGAATAGACAATATTTTTGTTGACAACAGACTAATTCCTCAGGTCCATTCCTGCACATATCACAGTATCGTCATATCTGATCATGCCCCTGTTGTGATGTCAATGCTATTTCCCAACGCTCCACACACGAGGCACTGGCGTCTCAACCCAACCCTACTTTCAGACCCCCGTTGTAAATATATAGAAGAACAGATTAGCTTTTCTTTGAAACTAACTGTACCCCGGATGTCTCTGCTCTTGTGGTCTGGGACGCATTTAAGGCCTACTTGAGAGGACAAATAATAGCATTCACTGCAAATAAGAAAAGACAGTCTCAGAAGGACCAACTGGAATTGATATCTAAAATCCAAGAAACCGATCGACAATATGCACTTAACCGAACTCCAGAACTATATAACCAACGATTGGAACTGAAAACTAAGTTTAACCTTCTCACCACTTACCAAACGGAAAATCTCCGGTTAAAAAGTAAAAGCACCTACTATGAACATAGTGAAAAAACTGGGAAATTGCTGGCTAATCAACTAAAGGGACTAAGGGCTAAACAACTTATAACAAGTATTCACACAGACAGTGGTGATACCACTCTAGACCCCACTAAGATAAATGATACCTTTAAAGGTTTTTACTCTGTGGAATCTTATATTCTTTATACTTTTATGTTTGCTCATTAACTGATCCAATGCATTACACATAGCATTACACATATCACGTATACATGCACCGTGTCCTTATATGACCACTGCAACACACGAACCTTGCACGATACTCACCTCACCACAGGTGTTTTATCTCACGTACACAGACTCAACAACAGCTCCTTATAAGGACTATTTTTTAAACTCTCAAGGACAAGTTACTGCTACATTCACATATTTATACACTGACCACAAGGTGCTGACACAGATAAAGCTGCACCTGTTTCTTTGATCCTCCTCTGTAAGTTTCGATCACACTATATGCTCAAGTATATAAAGATTGTACGCCCCAAGAGCGGGCAGAGAACTTACTTTGTGTATCCTGTACGCATAGCTGAACTTCTCTCCATGCTGCATGTAATAAACTGGGTGACTTAGCAACTCAACAGTTTCTGAAAGTCTCTTTTATTTGCTCTCGTCCCAAGGGTCGGAGGGTTTCCTCTTTCTGCTGATTTTCTGCAGGCCCAGTTCTACCACAATTACATGGCGACGAGGATGGGATTCCTAACATCAACCGGGTAGTTTCCTCCGAAACAACTTCTCCACCCAAATCAACTGAGGAATAGGTAAGTCAAACACCTTTTCTAAAGTTTGACAGTTTAGGGGTGGAGAGTATAGAGTTGTGAGAAGGGAGCTCTAGGTTTGGTAACGGAATCCCTGATAAATTTTGGGTAAAGAACCAGAACTGTGTGAAACTACTCTGACCATCGGACGATAGTGAAAAAAATAAAAGAAGAAGAATAAAATAAGGTAAATAAAAGAAGAATAATAAAATCAAGTACCTAAATTTGTATAAAATAGTGGGAACGAATTTGTTAAACTAAAATTCTGGGTTTCATGAGGAAACCTCAGAGACGTTTGAGGGAGTACAGTGAAAACAGAATATTAAACTGAAATTCTGGGTTTCATGGGAAACCTCAGAGACGTCTGAGGAGTACAGTGAAAACAGAATATTAAACTAAATTCTGGGTTTCATGGGAAACCTCAGAGACGTTTGAGGGAGTACAGTGAAAACAGAAATTAAGCAAAGATTGCAAAAACAAGATAAAGTAAAATGGCTATGCTAAAGTGATAAAATAAAACAAACAAATAAAAGGAACAATGGGAAAATCAACCAGTAAACTAAAGCCTGATGGCGAAGGTAATACTCCGGATAGATCAATCTTAATGCAAATGAAAACAGGGTACCCTGACATAGATTGGCTTAAAATTTTCAAACGTTGGAACAAAAAAAAAAATAATAAAAAAATTAAAAAAAAAAATAAATAAATAAATAAATAAATAAATAAATAGAAATAAAAAAAAAAAAAAAAAAATGGCCGGTACTGGGCACTTGCGACCCAAAGAAATGCGCAAAAGTGGATAAAATGTTGAAAGAAAAGTGGTGGGGAAAAGATGGCAAAGGAAAAGCAGGACCAAAGAAGAGTGAAGACCTCCATTGGGGGCTTGTGAAAGGTCATGTTGAAAAGAAAGCAGCAGTAAGTAGGGAGAGAACAGCGCTGAAAACAGCGGCTGAAATGTCAGAAAAGGCACAGCAGGAAGGTGAAGCAAACGAGAAACTTAGATTAATGTTACATTCAGTTAATCAGCCAGGAGAGCCAAGCAAACCCCCAAAAACAGATAAAGCCAAAGTACAGCTTGGTCTCCGAATAATCCATTTGGTAAAAAGGGCTCAACTGTTAAGTTGTACCCCAGCCTGTTAACAAAAGAAGGCTCTCCCCTGACTATAGCTCAGATGACGAATTGTACCTGTATAGAAATACACCACGAGCACCCGCACCCAGACAGGGCAGAAGCGGACAGGCTGCAGCTGCACCGCAACAACAGGATGAGCGAGCAGAGGGAGGGGAGATAGCAGTAAGGAGCTTTCGGGCGGATCAGATGAAGAACAAAAAGCACCGAGACATTCTGAAAGACTTAAACAGCAAAAATTTAAAAAAGAACAAGACAAAAAGGAGCAGGGTCAGAAAGGAGCTAGCGGATCAGGACAGGGAGGCACACACGTGCTCGAAGCCCCTTTAAGAATATTTCCAGGAATAAATGGGGATGGGTCTCTTATCACTGCATACCGCCCCTGGACTAAAATGGAATTAAAACAACTGACTGACGATACCCCAGATCCTAAGAAGGACGTGACTCAGACTATAACATATCTAAAGAGACTGTCTGGATGTTTCCATCCCTGTCAGGGTGACTGGTACAGCTTTTGTATGGCGCGTTGGCCTAAGCTCGAGGATAGATGGAGAATACATCTTGATGCACAGAGCGCAGCTGCAAAAGATCAGACAGAAGAAAGGGGCGAACTTATGTTGGAAGAAATAATGAAGGATTTACAGACTAAATTCAAAGTCAACCCAGATTGGGGTAAACTGTCAGGACTACATAAAAGAGAAGAGGAACAGGTGGAAGATTTTGTGACTAGGTTGCAAAACATATTTAAGAAATACTCAGGCTTAACCTCAGAGCAGTTCGCCCCGCTTCTTCCGCGCGCATTCGTTGACGGATTAGAAAGACATTCCAGAGAAGTGATAAAACAAGACCTCGCGTGGGAGGTAAAAACTCTAGAACAATGTGTAGCTATAGCCAAACACTCGGAAAGAAATCGACGAAATGCTGAATCCTCTGATAGTTCTAGATCAGAGTCTGACACCGATTGTAAAAAAAAATAAACTAAGACACAGAAATAAGGGAAAGAAAGACAAACGTAAACAACATTCTGGTGCTGTAAAACAAATGATTGTGCAACAGCCCCAGCAGGCTGCCCCTACCCAACCCTCCTCTCTCTCACAGACACAGTTTTTATCTCCAGCTCCCACACAGTGGCCAGTTTATCACCCCTTTCCAGCAGCTCAAGGAACCAACCCCTTTCACAGTCGAGAGCCACCCCAAGGTCAACAGGTAAGACCAGATCAATGTCTGTACTGTGGCCAAAGTGGACATTGGGCCAAAGACTGTAGATTGAAGGCCAGCCAACAAGGGCGTGGCCGAGGAGGAGCCCCAGGTTTAAACAAACCCGCCTACAGAAGTAACTGGGCTCCTCCTAGAGGAGGGGGCGGAGGTAGAGGCATGAATAGACAGCAAATGGGTCCCCCTGGTGGACCATTCCTGCACCCACAATAGGCCAGCGAGGCTCCACACCTAGGCTCACAGGGAAGTAAGCCACCCACACTTACACAAACACTAATTCCCCTTTTATTAGCTCCTCTTTCTGTTTCTCCAGATCCGAAGGCAGTGATGGAAATAAACAGGACCTCAACTGAGATGCTAGTAGACACTGGGGCTACTGTTTCTACCCTAACTCCCTCTGATGCAGCTGCTGCTAATGTTGCACCCACCACAGAAACCCTAAGTACCATAGGAGTGGCTGGAATTACGCAACAAAATTATGTCTCACAACCTGCTGCAGTGTCTTTTCAGGGTCAAAATCTGGAGCACTCTTTTCTACTTATGGGCGACAACTCACCAGTAAGTTTAATGGGAAGAGATTTATTAGGTAAGTTAAAAGCCACTTTGGTATGCCATGCTAATTCTGTTGAATTACAGCTCCCTCCAACTTCCCAGATGTCCATGACAGTTAACCAGCCTGGACTTTTCTACAGCCTAATGTATAATGACTTTCAGTCAGATATTATTATAAGAAGCATGGTGCCTTTTACATTTGATCTATTGCAGGAGTTTCTCTCAGACAGCCCAGACCTCCCTGATGTTTCCTCAGCTTGTGTCCCTCCACACCGCATGCACTGGACTTTGCACGTTGACCCTACAGGACGAGACCTTGAGTATTTCCATCATTTTTCTCCCTTCTTAGGACAGGCCTGTAGTGTTTTTGCGTGCACCATTTTGTTGTGTAAGCAGGGGGTGCCCTATTGACACATCAATTGGGCCCAGTAGCCTCCAGCTTGTTCCAGCAACCTGACTCCGCCCCACACCTGACTCTCTACACCTGTGAAGGTTACGAGCCTAAAGACTTAGGTCCCATAGCAAAGACCTTACAGACTCTGACTCCAACCATCTCACATTTGTACCAAGGAATGGTGTACTCCCACTATGAGGGCGTGGCATGGACAGTGACAGTAGATGACTCATGGTTAGCTGATGACGAAGATCCTGTATGCACCATTTCACCTTTTAAGACCACTGACATGTCTCACCCTCTTTCTCTGTTCTCAGTTTCTGTTCCTCCTCAGTCCCCTGCCACAGCGGAGTCCCAGACACATTGTGGTCTCAGTACTCTAATGAGTGTGGCCTAATGTTGTCTCACCCTCCTGTGTCAATTCCTGTAAAATCAGGTCCTGCTCCCAGAAAACAGCAGTACCCCCTCTCACAGGCCTCTCTGGAAGGCATTAAGCCTGTCATCGCTACCCTTTTAGACCAAGGAGTTTTGGTGCCGTGTCAGAGCCCCTGTAACACCCCTATTCTACCCGTTAAGAAACCTAACTCCCCTGACTGGCGGTTTGTTCAAGATCTCCGCCTGATAATGACTATGTGGCTCCCATGACTCCTGTAGTACCCAGCCCCACCACCATCCTAACCTCTATTCCTCCCTCTACTCAGTGGTACTCTGTTGTTGACCTCTGTTCTGCTTTTTTCAGCATCCCTGTCTCCCCAGAGTCCCAGTACCTGTTTGCTTTCACCTACGGTGGGCATCAGTACACGTGGACTCGCCTCCCACAAGGTTTTATTCACAGCCCCACTCTTTTTGCCCGAGCCCTTCTTACAGATCTAGCTGACGTTCAACTCCCTGGAGGCAGTGCCTTGATCCAGTACGTGGACGACCTGTTGGTAGCCAGCCCCACCAAAGAGGCATGCGAAACGGACACAAGAGCTCTGTTGTTGTCATTGGCTGAGAAGGGACACAAGGCCAGCGCCACGAAAGCCCAGCTGGTGCAACAAGAAGTGATCTACCTGGGCCATGTTCTCAAAGGTAACACCCGCCAAGTCAGTAGTAAACGTGTTTCTGCTGTTTTGAACATTCCAAAACCCCACACCAAGAAGCAGCTGAAGTCGTTCCTAGGCATCCTCGGGTACTCCAGACCATGGATCATAGACTTTGCCCCTCGAGCCAGGCCCCTTCAAGACATGCTCCTGCAGGCAGCTCCTGAGCACCTCCAATGGACGGAGGATGCAGAGACAGCGTTTACTGACTTAAAACAAGCACTTTCACAGGCCCCGGCGCTGGGTCTCCCTGATTACAGCAAACCTTTCCAGCTGTACGTTCACGAACGCAATGGGTTTGCCTCTGGTGTTCTCACTCAACAACATGGCTCTAACAAACGCCCAGTAGGTTACTATTCCACTCGCCTTGACAACACTGAGCTGGGTTTGCCCCCGTGTCTCCGAGCTGTGGCGGCTGCTGCTTTCATGGTAAGAACCGTGTCTGACCTGGTATTGGACTCTCAGTGTAAACTTTATGTTCCCCATGCAGTGAGTGCTCTGCTTACCAGAGCCAGCACACAACACCTTTCCGCAGCCAGACAGTCATTGTTGCTGCTGTCTATGCCTAATCTTACTATTCACAGATCTCCAACTCTCGATCCCTCTTCTCTCCTTCCTACTGCTGCTGACGGTGAGCCCCATGACTGCCAGGCGACGGTAACAATGACCTACACCATTCGTGAAGATCTCTTTGACACCCCTTTGTCTAACCTTGACCTTACCCTGTTCACTGACGGCAGCTCTTCTAGAAACCTGCAGGGCACGCTTGATTCAGGTTGGGCTGTAGTTTCTCCCACTGGCACCATTCTTACAGGTAAACTTCCAGACCACTTCTCTGCTCAACAGGCGGAGCTAGTGGCTCTCACTCAGGCATGTATCTATGCAAAGAATAAATCTGTTAACATCTACACTGACTCTCGGTATGCTTTAGGTGTCTGCCTTGATTTTGGTGGAATCTGGAGACATCGTGATTTCTTAACATCTGCAGGCACCCCTATTAAAAATGCTTCCCTAGTAGAGGCTCTCCTAAAAGCTCTCCTTCTTCCTTCTAAAGTTGCTATTCTCAAATGTGACGCCCATACATCTTCCAAAGATCCTGTGAGCCTCGGTAACGCAAGAGCTGATACTGCAGCAAAAGCCGCTGCGGTGTCAGGAGCCCTCGCTCCCGTGTTGGCGACCTCAACACTGGTTTCTCCCAGCCCGGATCCCTCCGTCCATGACGTAGCTGCCTTACAGTTAGCTGCCGAACCCTTGGAACGATCTCACTGGCAGACAAAATGTGTTCTTGTAAATAATGTATATTACTCTGTCGACGGGCGCCCGTGTTGCCCTCAGTCGCTCCTCCCCTACCTCTTACAGACTGTTCACGGTGTAGCACACGTGAACAAAGGGGGGATGGAAGCGATAATTAGACGTGTATGGTATGCAAATAATGTATCCCAGGCATGTGCTGATTTTGTACAAAGATGTGCCATTTGCCAACAACACAACGTTGGAAAGACAACAAAAGTGAAACAAGGTGCTCATCCTGCTCCACCAGGACCATTTTCAAATTTACAGATTGATTTTATCCAAATGCCAAAACACGGACGGTTTCAATACGTCCTGGTCATGGTGGACACATTCTCAGGATGGCCCGAAGCTTTTCCTACTGCAAAAGCAGACACAACAGCAGTATCAAAAGCCTTACTCAAAGAGTTCATTCCAAGGTTTGGTATCCCAGTATCCATTAATAGTGACAGAGGGACTCATTTTACTGGACAAATAGTGCAAGATGTTGTTACAGCACTAGGAATCAAACACCACCTGCACACACCTTACCATCCACAAAGTGCAGGGAAAGTTGAAAGGTTGAACCAGACTCTGAAACTCAAACTAGCTAAAATATGTGCACAGACACAACTTAGCTGGCCGGAGGCTCTTCCTCTGGCCCTGATGAGTATCAGAGCTACTACTAGCAGACGTAATCATTTATCTCCATATGAGGTGATTACAGGACGAGCCATGAGCACCCCAGGATCTCTGGGCACTATGATAGTGCCTCAAGAAATGGCCCTGAGACATGATAGTGTACTAAACTATTGCAAAGCGTTGCACTATGTCTTCTCATCCATTCACAAACAGGTTCGTGAAGGACAACCACAACCCCTGAACGAACCAGGACATCCACTGCAACCAGGTGACTACGTGGCTATAAAGATCCACCAAAGGAAGACTGCACTGCAGCCCCGGTGGACCAAACCTTATCAGGTTCTACTCGTCACAAACACCGCAGTAAAGGTCGAAGGTCGACCTACATGGATCCACGCATCCCACTGTAAGAAGGTAACACCACCTGCTGCAACGGCTGACAAGACAGCATTAGAGCGTTGAGGAATTAGTCGACAGGAGTGTACGACGTGCTCTGCTCCTACAGCAGGCAACATGGCTCCAACTCCAACCCTCCTGCCATTGACTGAGAGGCAGCCACGCGGTCAGAAGAGAGACAGGCCCAGACCATGGCATCCTTTTAGAAATCATAAAGGCCTGTGTGGCCTCCGAGGCACGACATGTATCCTCCTAATTTTTGCTAGCATTGTGCTAGCACCTTGGTTATGGTATCAGCTGCAAGAAACTAACACTAAATCTGTAACCACTCCCACTAAACCCTCTCTCACCAACTCTACAGCACCCGATGTTAACACCACTTTTTCTCCGCAGCAACAACCACGTGAAAGACGGTCTGTATCCTCTACCACTGTCTCTTGTCCTCACACCTTCTCCCAAACAAACTCATAAGACCATTCCTCAGATTTTCCTTCCTAGAAATCAGCATTGATGAGCAATTTGTTTGGTAAATGGAAAGGTCTAATTATGTCTGTCCTACTTTCAATTGCAGTCATGGCTGCGATTCTCATTCTCTGTGGTTGTTGCTGTATCCCATGTATTAGAGCTCTTATGACTCGCTTGATTGACCGTGCTATTTCACCCCCACATCCTGAAGATGCTGTGCAAAATTTCCCGCTGCTAGCGGTTAATGGTGATGCTAATGACGCTGATGATGAAAATGAAGGCTACCCCGATCTCAGTTTCTTCCCCTTTGATGAGTGATGTGTGAAGGATGTTTTATGTTTTATTTTGTTTTATTGTAGTTTGTTCTAAAGAACAAAAGGGGGGAATGTGGAATCTTATATTCTTTATACTTTTATGTTTGCTCATTAACTGATCCAATGCATTACACATAGCATTACACATATCACGTATACATGCACCGTGTCCTTATATGACCACTGCAACACACGAACCTTGCACGATACTCACCTCACCACAGGTTTTATCTCACGTACACAGACTCAACAACAGCTCCTTATAAGG